ATGAAACTCTATGAAGCCACTGCAGCACGAGTTCAATCCCCAGCCAGGGAGCTGACCCACATGGCGAGACAGACCTCTCCTGACCCGCCCGCTGCTCCCCTCAGCAGTGCACTTTGTTGATCTGCCTGTTCTGTTCTCCACCCTGTCTCTGGTGAATCCTCTCACCCACCACACCTCTGGCCTGTACCCCAGTTCTGTAAGCATGAATAAATAAATCTTTAAAAAGAATACATTTAAGAAAAAGAAAAACAATAATTGCTTTCCTTTCTTGAATAATAATGTTGTGGTAGGAGCTACTGTGCTAATTTCTTCACAGGTATGACCTGATTCAGTTGTTTAAATGGTCTTATGAATTCCTGCGGTTGTCCTTGTGTATGGACAGGTAAACTGGGGCTTCATGTGGAGGGGAACTGAAGGTTACAGAGCTAGTGGGACCAACCTCACTCTTTGGCTCCAGGACTGGTGTGAGAATAGGGAAGTTAGAGATGTAAAGATGGTGACTACATCTGGTAGGCATTTTTGGGAGAGTAAGTGAAGGTGAGGACATGAAGGGAGAAAAAGCGAGGCAATGAGAGCAGGCAAAGAAGGGAGCAGAGAGGAAGAGATAAGAAAACTGGGAGACTAAAGAGGAAAATGAAGGGCCTAAATAAGAGGAAGGAGGAGAGGAGTGTTCACACTGCTTTAGAATTTTGTGGCTGGGAGACAACTGCATACCTAATAGAACATAAGTAGACCTTGGTGTCTGTGAGACAATGCACAACACAATCAATGTGATATATGGCATTGAGAAATAGAATCATTTATTTATTTAAAAAAAGATTTATTTATTCATGCAGAACTGGGGTACAAGCCAGAGGTGCAGGGGCAGTGAGAGGCTTCACCTGAGACAGAGTGGGGAGCAGAACAGGCAGATCCACGAAGTATACTGCTGAGGGGAGCAGCGGGTGGGTCAGGCGAGGTCTGCTGTGCCATGTGGGTCACCTTCGGGGCCAGGGATCGAACTCAAACTGAAGCAGCTGCGGCCTGCTTGCAGTCCTGTGTCCTAACCTGTTGTGCCATCAGGGAGGGCCCCAGAATCATTTATTATTGAGGCATGGAAATTAAATATAATTGTTAGGCAATTTATAAAGTTGGCTATACTAACCATCATTCTCTCACTCTGTCGCTCTCTTTATCTCTCCCTCTCTCACACTCACAGGCTTAAATGATTTTCATTCCTCTTTTTTTCCCATATCTACAGTAATCTTCAAGCTCTATTGGCATTTGGAAGCTGTCACAGACACCAGATGCGATGACATGTTATCCTCACATCACACCCAAAGTTGTACATAAGCAGGACAGAGGCCTGGGCTTATTCTTTATCCCTCACTGAGATTTACTTGCTACACAAAGATCTTTCTTCTTTGGGGATCTTAAAACTGTGTTTCAGCTCAACCATCCCTTAGGGTCTTGGCCCCAGAGGCCCTGGGGAATATTGTTGGGCTGGTAGGCAGCAAATATGACTGCAAGGTGACTGTGTCCAGGTACAGGACAACTGGCTGAGGCTCAATTTATCAGCCTTTGGGAATCTAGGGCCAAAGGGATGCTGCCATCCCAGTTTCCCATCTGTGCGCCCCACTATTGCACAAGCAGGTGAGATTTTCCAAGGTTCACCTAAGCCTGCTTGACACTAGCTTTTCAGGCAGCCTCTCTCCTTTCTGTTCCTCATTGGGGCAGGCCTCAGAGTAGATGTGGGTTGGGCTAGGAAGCAAACACCTTCTTTAGAAGTATCTAGGGAAATTAGGAAAATATGGAAAAGAAACTAGGAAGAGAAAAGAGAAAGGAGTAGGAAAAGAAAAAAAGGGACACATTTTTAAAAATGGGGAGACTGTTCTGCATGTTTCTTTTGCTTACCAGAAGTAGAATATTCCTATAAAACATTTATAAATTGAAACAGCATAAAACAAAGATGACATTACATTCACTTATATGGAAGAACATTGAGGATCCTTAGGCTCAGATAATCTACCATCATATGAAATAATGCAATACCACCTGAAATCACACACATATATATTGCAAAAGCAAGAATAACATGAATAAGATACACCAACAGT